GGCTCCTGTCTATTGTAGAACCTCAGCCAGAAAGCTTAAACTTGAGATGGATTGCAAAATATTCTGAGGGTGTAGGGGTTGGATCCCATCATACATTGGATAGTCATGGGCCAATCTGGGTTTCCTACAAACGTGCTGGAAAGCCGCCTTCTGTAAGTGGCTCTGTCACAAGGCCAGGAATTCATCCACTGAGGAATGGGAGGGAAGTATAGCACCAATGCCACAGAACTCAGACTTGCACATTCACTAACTTCAGCTGAGCAATGATACACACAGGAAAGCCAGGAGGCAGAGATACTTCAGCCAAGCACTCGCACAGGAGGGGGTCTTCACTTGTGCCAAATTCATGCAAAAAGAGCACTGTTTGTTTTATTTTTCAGGTTATTATTTGCCAGGAAAGCTCACTAATAAAGTATCCTGGGCAAAATGTCATTTTTAGAACTAAAAAAAAATTAAATGAGTAACTAAAGGAAGTTCACACGCATCCAAATGGATTTCTTTACTCCACAACAGTCTGTGGGTGGATGTGGGAGACGGAGAGGATTGGCCTCACAGAAACTATGACAGGACAGTATTCCAAGCTCAGTGACTTCTTGGCTTCACAGCAAGAACAGAGTCCTGGGACACTTTGGTGAAACTGGCTCAGAATAAAAGAGCTGAGAGGGAAAGAAATCCAGTTTACTTTCAGAAAGGACATATCCTCGTGGGAATTGTTCTTCATGTCTGTCTTATCCTTAATTCGAAAAACTCACCAGAGGCTTCTTCTCTCCTAGCATCAGTGCTCCCAGAGATGTGAACAAGAGTGTTTCAGATACGAAGGATATTGGGACCCATGAGGAAGAGCACCAGACAGAGTGGCCAGTAGAGGCCGATGGACTGCGCCATTCATTTCTTTGGTTCTAGTTCATTGGCTTGGTGAAGAAAAATCTTCCATGGAAGCTCTGGGCTAAGACTTCTGGGAGCAATATACACAGACTGTTTCCCTCCATTAGTGAATTAAAAACAAGGATAGACCTAGACAGTGAAGTTTTGGTTAGCTGAAAGATTAGCCAACCCAGCTCTGGAGCCCACAGTCAACATTCATTTCATTTAAAGTGCACACAGAGGAGTGGCAGCTTAGAGAAGTGGGTAGAAGGATGGGCTCTGAAGTCTTTACCTTGACCCATTTCTTTGACTACTTGCTAGTTCTGCGACCAACAATTTGTCTCAAGTTGTCATAAGCACTGGGTTTCAAGACATAAAAGACTGGAAATGTTGCTACTCCTTAGCACAAATGAAGAAGTTCATGGATTATGAAGCAATTAACACAGCATTGAATAAAAGTTCAGTAATTGCAGACGGAAAGAGAAGATGAAGATGTTCCAGGTCCCAAGTTCTACACTAGAAGGCCCAGATGGTTCATGTATTAATCAGGAACCTGGAATCTAGACCAGAGGATTAGCAATCACACACCTGAGATACCTGTTTGTATTCAGGCACTGAAAATGAAATAACTTCCTTGGTTGGGATTGTTCCTTGAAAGAGTTTTAAGAGTAGAAGATTGTTTCTTCCAAATATGCACAAGTAAGGTTACAGCATTTAATGAGACTCCCTTTGATGGAGAAGTAGCAACTACAATTTGCAGTCATCCTAACTCCATCTATGGCTAAGTGAGTTATCTGTGCAGAGGTCATTGATTGAAATTTTTATTGAGCATCTTCTCTGAGCCAGCCATGGGACCACATGACTTGGATTGTAACCAATAAAAAGGAATGTGAGTAAATAAAGAGCTGCATTCTCTTGTCTGGCTCATAGAAACCTCCCCAAAGAGACCATTTTCTCTTTACAGATCCACACTGAGATTGCTTCAGAGAACCTGAGAAAGTAGCTACCGAGTTAAAACCTTAAGTTCTGCCAGGCGGTGGTGGCGCACACCTTTAATCCCAGCACTTGGGAGGCAGAGGCAGGTGGATCTCTGTGAGTTCGAAGCCAGCCTGTTCTACAGAGCAAGTTTGAGGACAACCTCCAAAACAATACAGAGAAACCCTGCCTCAAAAAACCAAAAAAAAAAAAAAAAAAAAAAAAAGACCTTAAATTCTGAACCCACACTGGACTGTGATTGTGCCATTACTTGCGACTCAGAGGTTTGTCTGTTTTTATTTCCCATATCAGACAAAGCAGTGAACATGGCAGATATTCCTGGGATTCTGGAGCTGTAAACTTTTACAAAAGCAATTCAGTAAGAAACTATGATGCCATGTGATATGTGATAGCCACTGGAACATCACTGAGACACGAAAGTGGGAGCAGATAGCAGAGCATCCCAGGATAATGTAAGCATTGGGTAATTCCTCTTGGCAAACGTGCATTTATGGTGAGGTCTGAAAGAGGATGTGCTGTCAGCTTGAACTGCCTTAACTGCCACAAGCCGAGTGGCCGAAATAGCATCAATTTATTTTTTCAGTATTAGAAGCTGAAAGGCTAAGGCCAAGGCATTTGCAGAGTTGGTTTCATCCAAGACAGAAGACTGACTTCTTTCAATACTCCCCTCTACACATGTCTGTCACCTGAAGCTCCTTACTCCTAAGGACGCCTGCCATCTTACATTGGATCCTACCCATATCACTACCTTACTTTACTTGGCATTTTCACTGCCCTAAACACAAATATAGTCACATTTTGAGTTAGTGGTTACTAAGACCTTCGTGATTTGGGGGAACACCTAAACAAATGGCTAGGAAACAGTAAATTAAAGAGTTACCTTGGCTGTCTGGTGACTGTCCAGTGATGGCAGCTGACCCAAGGAAGTTATAAAGATGAGAAAGAACCTCATACTTCCAATGGGATTATGTCTATTCCACTTAGGACTCCAATCACAGCCCCATGACACTGTTTTAACTGCAGGTTTGGAACTTAGGATAACAGAAATAAGATGGGAGAATGGTGGGAAGTAGCAGAATGCCATCGTTGTCTAGAGACAGAAAGAAATTGACTGCAGTTTTATAGACCTGGAGTCTGCATGGGGCCTGCCATGCTTATGGAGAAATCACAGAGGGGCTTTTAGAGTAAGCTTGGCCTCAGAAACATCACAAGAATGATAGCTACCTGGCCACATGCACGTGCAGAGACTGAGGATCAATGGGTCAAAGATCAATCTGAATAAATGTTCTATTAATACAGACAACATATCACAACAATTAATCTTCAAGATGATGACAGACTCCAGTTACAGTGAGGTGCTGAAGGTGATTGACGTAATGGGACCATCCTCAGCTGCCAGATTGCTGAGTTAGTGGTTTTCACATTCATTTTCCTGCTTGGATTGATCGAACTGGGGAAGCTCTGGAGCTAGGTGCTGAAAACTTACAGCTCGGAAGACCAAGAGAGTCTTCTCTGGAAGTAGGCATATAAGAGCAGAGCCAAGACTGATAATCTGGTCCACTAAAAAGAAACACAGTAGACTTCCCAAGAGACCAAACATTTGTAATATGGACACAGAGGAAGAATTTGGAAAGTCCTGCTCAGAAACAAGAATATCACCACCCATTGGAATGAAAAGAATTGCACTAGAAGAGAAGTGCATATAATGTATTCTTTTGTTGATGCTGACATTGTTGTTGGTTCTTTCTGAACACCATGGCCTTGTTCACCCAAACCATGTGACTTGGGACCTTCTACTCCTGGAATATCTAGTGGACTCCTGGTTATCTTCAAAGCTTATTTCATCATCCCCTTTAAAATATCCCTAGGATATTAGTGGAGCCTGGGATGGAGATGAGGGATTTTGGGGTTTTAATAAATTCCACTATAAAAATAAACCCTGAATCTTCCCATCCTTCTTTGGTTCATCTGCTGTCTTTGTCCATATCACCTGTTTAATTCACTGGTAACTCTTTTAGGGTCTCTTTCCAGCCTCATTCTCTGTAGCCTAATATTATAGAGACAAATGTGGTCCTCCTACATGTAATCAGTACATTTTGCTGCGATTACACTGTTTGTGTATACCCGGGTATAAAATGGCTTCTGCTAACCCTTAAAATTTCCTTTGTCGAAAAATAGACCTGAGTGCCTGTTCCACCCCACAGAGCCTTTCTGTCCTCCTTCATTCTAGCCCTTGTGCCCAAAGCCCCAAAGCCCAGGCCTTCCAAGAACCATGCCCTTATCATGTAGATCTCAGCTCTCCAAGAGGAAAACCACCAAACATAGCTCCCAGCCACTACCAGCTCTGTTTATCCTTTTCACAGTGCTCATGGACAAACTGAAATTACCCATGTGCTTCGGATATACTTCAGCTGGTAGAGTGTCTGCACAGCAGGCCGGGGCCTGGATTCAAACTCCAGTGTTGCATAAAGTTATACATGGTGCTTTCTGTCTACCATATCAGTACTACAGAAGGCCAAAGAAGGGAGAATCACAAGTTCAAAAACATACTCTGCTAAATAACAAGTCTGAGACCAGCCTTGGCTACAGGAAACCCTGTCTCAAAAAACAAAAGCAAACAAAACCGTTATCCATTGCTACCTTCCACACTAGACAGTAGACAGTACACTCCATACAAAAATATTTTCCTCGGATAAGAGGAACGCTCAATGGGTAGAGGTGCCTGCCATTCAGTCTAAAAACATGAATTTGATCTGGGGACCCACATGGTGGAAGGAGAGAGATTTGGATTCCAAAGGTTGTTCTCTGACTTCCTGTGACAGGCATACACACACACACACACACACACACACACACACACACACACACACACACACACACACGAAGTAAATAAAAAAATATTTGTGTCTTGCCAGCCTGTAGAAGAATTCCAGGCATACAGTAAATATCTAAGCATTTCTTGACTGAATGGTACAACCTGTGGTTGACTGCTCTAACTTTCCATAGCATCCTGTCCCTGCCTCTATAGAGACACTCGGAGTCACAGTCAAAACCTTCCTCTCATCCCTGACAGTGAGCTCCTGGAGGGAAAGGATGCTTGCTAGAGACAATGTGTGTAAAAACTGAGGAAGAAACACCACCTGTGGAATCAGTACTTCTCAGCCCGTCATGGAGTAGCTCAAATCACCCAGGGGACCTTGTTAAGATGCAGCTTCTGATTGGTGGCCTGAAGTGGGACCCTAGACTTGGAATCTCTAATAAGCATTGTGATGACATTAGTGCTGCCAGTTCTTTTCCCCGGTTTGAACAGAAAGACTGTTGAGGAGGATGTTCTACAAACTTGTTTTCCATTTCCTTTGTGTTTGCTACAAAACCCTGTAGCTTCTTTTTGGCTGGTGTGAACTATATATTAAATTAGCACATATTAAACACATGAAAAAAATTAATGAATGAACCCAACACCCTCAGAGTTACGGGAAAAGAAACTGAGTCATAATGGTTAGGTAACCTGATTGTCAACTACCCAAGTCTGCTCTAGAATCCTGTGTCTAACCCTTTCAAGCCACGAGTGTTTTAATCTTAGTCGCTGATTAGGATTGGATCTTAAATACTCAAGGAATCAGATGCCTATCCTGGCATGGTGATGCAGGCATTTAGTAATCTCAGCACCTGAGGGGCTAAAACAGTAGAATTGTCGTTAAGTACAAGGTCAGCCTGGGCTACATAGACAGCCTCTGTCTCAAAAACAAAACTGAATGAACAAACAAACAAAATGTAAGATGCTATGTGCAGGGTTATTCTCAACCCTATTACTAGGGCCAAAGAAAATAGAGAGGCAGCCCCGGGAGCAAGGCATACTTGTGACTCTTGTGCCTTTTCAACTTTGCAGCTGGCCTGGGCCTGCATGCTCTTCTTACCCTAGAGGACCCCAAGTTTCAGAAAGACACTTCTTTTGGCAGAATCAGTCGTGTTTACAGATGTATGTATCAATGGCTGAGAATAGGCAGATGTGCTCTTACTGAAGCCCGTGGGGGAAAAGAAAGATAGTTTTATGGGTTGAAGGGAGGACCCCTCCCCCAACAACCTGGTACCATGAGGTGAGTAGCAGAAGACCCGAAGAGGTCTTCCTGTATTTTCCCCAAGGCTTGGAAACTAGGGCTGTACCACAGCTCCAGCCTCCACTAATAAGCACAAGGTGGCTCCGTGTGGCAGATGGCCCTTTGCTCACAGCCATCTGACAGCAAACAAACGTGCCTGGGATTCTTCATGCAGAAGCACACACCGAGATTAGTCTGTGAACTCCCCACTCTGAGCAGCAGGCAAGCTCAGCCAGCCTAGCACAAAGCACAGCCAGGGGGACAGATGATCACAGCTGCTTGTGCTACCAGCATTTTAGGGGTGAACATGGAACCCCCAAAGAGGCAGATACACAAAAACCTTGACTCAACATGAAGACTTCCAGATCCCTCACTTCCATCAGTGTTTCCATCAGCGCTGGCAGTGGCGGTCAGTGACAATGACCCTTCCAATTCACCATTTAGAATGGTGCAAGTATGGCTTATGGTGCCATTCAGGAACTGGTCTGTCCTAGTCTGTCAAGAACTGTGCTGTCCCTGCTGCCAGATGACCCTGTAAGCACTGAGAAAATATAGACATCTCAAAGGGATGGCATGACGGAGAGGTCTGACAGCTACTTCCCCCTTATGCTATGAGCAGAATAAGAGCCAGTTTCCCACAGTATACTTTAGGTAGACAGACAGCCTTGACTACAGTGACAGTAAGACCTTAGACTGCACCCTTCTTCCCCAGGATCTGACTAATACCTGGTTCCTGGCAGTTAGGTCCTAAAGCAACAGCCACAGCAGCAACTGAGGACATTGAGAAAGAAAATCTCCAAAGCTAGATACCCCTCTGGCTCAGATGACAGCTGTAACATGGCCAAGGACCAGGAGGTAGAGGTGACTATGCCAGCTCCCTGAGATCCAGTCACTGAAGCCCTTCCCTCCCTCCATTTGGACTATGAGACCATGCTAGCTAGTCAGAACTTGTATTTCTACTTTGTCCAAGGGACACAGAGAAGATTAAATTCCTTTTTAACTTTAGACACACAAATAGCAGACATCAGAGGTGTTTGTATCACTGAGAGCCCTTCTGAGTTTTAAGACCAGAAAGGAGCCCTCCTGGTGCTTTTATTTTTTAATTAATTAGTTTTTGAGGCTGGGTTTCCCTGTGTAGCTCTGGCTGTCCTGGAACTCACTCTGTAGAGCTGGCTGGCCTCGAACTCACAGAAATCCTCCTGCCTCTGCTTCCCTGAGTGCTAGGATTAAAGGTGTGTGCCACTGCTGCCCAGCTCTCCTGATGCTATCAGACACTGGTCCAGTCTTCTTGTGTGATCCTGAACACTGCTCTTCTGCCCTGAGCGCTCCACTCACACTCTGAGCTGGAAGAGGGTTCCCTACTTTCCCTTGAGCAACTCCTCTCTAAAATTCTGCTGGACTTAACCCCTCCTCTGCCTGGTTGCACATCACTACTCCTCCTTAAAGAACTATGAGTGGCAGATAGAAGCATAGTGTTCAAGACATTTTCACAGGTGAACGCATAAGTCCCTGTTGGTAGGAGGCCTGATAGCCACTCCTTCATGAACTAAAAACAGACACCCTCCCTAACAGGCTGTGTGGTACAGTGAATCAAATCTCAGCACTGCCATTCAATTTGTGCAATTGAGAATGAATGTTGACTGTGACTTTACTTTGGGTTTTTTAGATGGGAATGGTGGGTAATAAACTCACTTTCTGGTATGACACTTGGCACAGACACTAGCAATTCACCCAAGTCCCTTTTCCTTCAACAGAACTCTCCCCCCCCCCCAATGTTTCAGGAACCAGCATGGCCTTGGTGCCCCCACCCCTGACTCCTCACATACATCCTAGCCTTTGTTTCACAGACTTGAAGCCAGTGTGCTCAGGAGCTTGTAAAGTCTGTCTCTTCTAATATCAGAAAACTTTGGAAATTTTAAGGCTTCGCAGTTGAAATTGTGCAATGTTGCCATTGCTGGAAGCTTTGGACAAAGACATCAGGAGCTGGAGACACACTTCCCTCTGCCAGGGGACTTGCCAGGGGGAATCTATCTCCTACTCAGGTTTTAGCCACTATAGGCTATCCTCATGGCTACAAATAAAATCTGAAGACATAACTGATGTTTAATTAATATTCTTCAATTACTACAAAATAATATTTTGCTTTTAATTAAGGATTCATTCTGGAAAAAAAAACTAAGAATAGTTACGTCACAGTAAACTCCTAAGAATAGTTATGTCACAGTTTCTGATCCCAAGGAGGCTTTGACTTGATGTTCTCTGGAGATGTGAACCCAACATAACAATTTTATTAGCTCTTATTAGAGCTTTGATTCATGTACTTCAAAGGAGTGGCAGCTCGCCTTTTCATTTGAAGTTCAGAAATCTTTTCTGGCATCTGGGCTGTCTGGAGGGTTACTTGGTTTCTGTAAGTCTTAGAGGTGAGATGCTGAAGGAAACAGATTGTGCTTAAAGACATTAATTTTCCTTCTTCCTATCTGCTCCTGCAAGGGGATGAGTGGAGGGAGGGATAGTGGCTGCCATAATCACACCCTAATAACGGTCAAAACCTAGAGAGTCAGTTTGTGCAAACCCAGTCTCACTGACCTGGAAGCGTGTTGTACACAACGTATCTGTTTATGTGTCTTGCATGTCTGCCTGCCTATCTATCATTATCTATCCATATCTACCATCTAGCTATCATTTATCTATCCTCTGTCTTCACTCATTCCTTTATAAACTATCATTTTCCTCTACTGTTCATCTGTTATCTATCCTCTATACCTCCGTCATTCATCTACCACCTATCATTTACTTATAATCCATATATTTATCCTTTATCAACTATCTTCCATCACTATGATTCATATATCCATCATGTATCTTCTATATATGTAATATATTTATCATCTATCATCCATTCATCTATTAGTTCTCCTCTATCATAGATTAATATCTAGATTCACCTATCACCTATATCTCCTCTATTATTCATCTACCCATCACCTTTCTGAATTTGAAGCAGCCACAAAGATCCTTTGATCCACTGCCATTTTACCCAGAATCCTCTCAGCAGCAGCTCCAATCCTCCAGTGTCTGTGCAATTTCTACTGTCAGAAATATCAATGATCAGAGACGCCTAATGCAGGAGTTAGCATGTTCATGTCCAGATACACTTAAGTGTTTTTAAATCTTTTTATGTAATTCAACATATATTTCTGTCACATCACTTGTCACCCCACCATCTCTGTACTATGGAACAACAGAACCATCTAAATCATCTTCTTCACAAGAATTTTAAATATCAGATGCTAATTGTCGTTGCCCTGCATATAGACTGTCTTGAATGCATTTTTCCAACAGCATTTTGTTGGAGGGATGTCCAGGTACACTTCACAATGGTATCCATCTTTCTGTTTGCTAGTATTGCTCCAGAGCAAGGCACCCAGAACTACTGACTACAGCATTCTTAAAAGACTTCTACCTGGTATAAAAGAGGGCAATTTGCTCTCTATATAGATGATATATATATATATGTAATATATGTATGTCTGTAATAATAGATTATATATGATTGATTTTAGAGATCATAGATGATAGTTTTATATATATGTATGATTGATAGACAAATGATTATTTCTTGATTATAGAGATAGGTAGTATGTAAGTAGCTATGCAGATAGTTTATATATACATAGATATGACTGAAAGGTAAATGATTGATGATTAATTATAGAGATAGATGACAGTAAGTAGATAATGAGATTAACAAATGATAAATATAGGTACATATACATGATGAATTGATATAGATGATTGATCAGCATATGGATTGATATATGATTTAGAGATGACATAGTAATGAATGGCAGATAGATGAAAAATATATAGGACTGCATGTGATATGTAAAATGTTTTTGTCTATCATAGTGGCCTGGGAGAGTCTATGGTCAGTCAAAATGCAGTCATCTCTTACAGGGTCTACACTCAGACCAGTTCTCTCATATCTTCTATTTGTGAAGCCAAGCTGTCTTTCAAACCTAAAGCCAAGGTGTAACCTTAATCCTTCTCATATTCATCTTTTTAATATCAGCCCACCTTCCTGAACATCAGATCTTTTGAAACTTGTTCACATTGCTTGTCATTTAAT